AAACCTGAAACAGCTGTATCAATTTCACACAAAGAAGATTTTAGATCAGAGACGATTGAAGATGAAGAGGAGCATTATTCAACAATAGAAATGTCCATTTTCAAAGAAGGTAGTGTAATTCTTAATGTATACTCATCAAAGAAGAGAGTAGCAAAATACGTGAGGCAAATTCTGATAGGACTGCAAAGAAGAACAGATGAGCCCAACGCTAGAGGATTGGTGGCGACATCAACACCCATCTACACAGAATGAACAGATCAGCTGGAAGAGAGTAAAGACACAGCTGGCCTCCACAGCCAGTTCAAATACGCCAACTGGACCAAACCGACATCTCTAGAATACGTCAAAGCAGAATATGGATTATTGTAAGCACACACTCACCAAGAAAGAGGACTTTTTGTGCCATAACCTGTACACTAACAAAATTTAAAGAATAAAAATGATAAAATGTGTGCTCTAAGATCACAATGTATTTTTTAATGTAAAATTGTATTTTAGGAAGAAAAAATATAACTGAGAAGAAATAGAAGAAAATAATGTTAGGAATACAGGAAGATGAGAGAAGTTAATATAAAAGTTTTCAAATTTTTCAGAGATCACAATGCATTTAAAGTATATCCACAGAAGGAAGGTGGAAGGAAACTCACACATTCTTGGAAACTAATCAGTGAGTTTCTAAATAGCACCCAGGTCAATGGAGAGGGCGGAATAATGAGAAGGGAAAAAAAATCTTTAATTGACACAAGAATATGGTGGAAAACTAGACTCTTTCCCACTAAAATCAGGAGCCATGCAATAATGCCCGCTTAGACCATTCTGACCAACGATACCGGAGAGTCTCTAAAGGTGAGGAAATAAAAAGTTTATACGATACAGACTAGGAAGGGAGAAACAAAGTTATTGGTTAACAAGAGATAGGAAAAGAAGGTTGGGGATATGGTTTAGTTGGTAAAGTGTTTGCTGAGCATCCATGATGATCTATCTGAATTTCATCTTCCAGAACTCACTTTTTAAAACCAAAGGAGTTCGAGGTGCATGATATCCCTTGCCCTAGCGCTGATGGGGATTTAGAAATGAAGGTAAATTGCAATGGTAGAGTGAGCACACGGTGTGAACCCTAATATTCCACAGTGGGAAGGCCCAGAAGACACACCCTTCACTAATCCTATAAGACACAAAAGAGTGAGGGGCACCAGCACAGATGAAGAGTTTTATTGTCACCCTTTTCCTTGTGCCAGACCTTAGAGTGGAAGATGCTTCTGCTCAATCGGATGAATTAAATGCAATGGTTTAACTGACCCCCGACGTAGCAGGGGCCAGGTGGCAGCCCTGAATTACCAAAGGAAAGGTGACCATAGTTATTGTAATGGGAAGCGCAGACAGAGTAATGGCCATGAAAGCCTAACCTATAGTGGTCAGCACAGGCAAGGTGAATTTTGTAGGGGCATGACTTGTATAAACTTGTGTTACTAGCTAATCAATCATAGTGTTTCCAGGCATGAAATAGATAGGAAGCCTATTGAATTTTTGTTTGAAGCCTATTGAATTTTTGTTTGATCTGTACAAACAAAAGGAGCTAAGGAAGACTTAGCGTCCAGTCCTAAAGGGCAAGGGGAATCGGGTCTCTCAGTCAAGCATCACTGGTGAGGAGGATGGACAGGTCGGTGGGAGAAAGGGAGGATTTATGGAGTTGGAGGAAGGTCAATGAAGACCATGCCCCACCCAGGCCAGTTTACCCCTCAGGGACCCACCCCCACCGCACACATCTGTCAGAGCCAGTGTCAGGTAAGCCCTACTGCCTAGTAGAACCACCCAGGGGGTCTGTGAATTAGCAGATGAGAGGGCATGCAAAGTCCCTTAGTCCATGGGTGCTCTGGATTCCAGGGAGACAGAAGCAGGAGACACTTCAGTGCAGGACAAGCCTGTGACATGAAAGCCCTTCAGCAGGGGTCAGTGACACAAGAACATGCTCCCCTGGACTATGTCACTCAGGACTGTGTTAGAGGATGGGGGCGCAAACAAACAAACCCACACCTTTTTATATAAGGTTTCATATTTAATTTGGTCATGAATCCATAATACATGAGTATTTTGTACATAATGGCATGCCTTGTTTTGCTTTGTTACCAACACATTGCCAAAAGAGACAAAGAAAGGGCATCAGATGTGAGGGTGGCACACACACCTACTGTTGGGGCTGGGGCTGGTTATAGAGCCCAGCTAGCCCTGATGTACAATGTCAGCATAAGAACACCGATGCAGAGACTACTCAGAAGTGGGGGTCTCCCTCCTGAAGCCACAGCAACAAGACACTACAGCATGCCTGGGAACAGCCACCCCCAGGCGCTGTCCTGCTGTGTGACCTGAATCTGCTGGAGGAGGTTTTGCCAGAAGGAGTGCTGAAATAATGAGGAACTAACGAGGGGGTGTTCAGCGGTTTGTATCACTTGCTCTTGCAGAAGACCTGGGCTTGATTCCAAGCACCTACATAGTGGGGTCAAAACCGTCTGTAACTCCAGTTCAAGGTGATCAGATGCCGCAATCTGAGCTATGCGGGCACCAGCCATGCATATCATGCACATATATGCAGGAAAACACTCATAAAATAAATAAAAATAAAAACTCACAATATTAAAATAACAAAAACAGGTGAGGGCCAGGAATGGTGGCATACCCATTTGATCCCAGAACTTGGAAGGGAGCTGTGGGCAGACCTCTGAGTTGAAGGCCATCCTGGTGTACGCAGTGAGTTCAAGGTCAGCTAAGGCTACATACAGATGTAGACTCTGTCTCAAAAACAAGTTAGTTTTTAAAAACAGAATAGGAATCCATACAGGACAAAAATCGGAATGTGCCAGTTCTCCAGAGAACCCTTATCACAGTGTTTTAAAAATAGTGACTTATGGATATGGTGATGAACCTATCCATTTGTAATTCCAGCTCCGAGGAGGCTGAGGCAGGGCAGTTGTGAAGGAAGGCAGTCTGGGATTCATAGCCAAGACCCAGACTCAAAACCAAAACCCAAAGAACTGACATTTCAGGGTTTACTACTGTACAGTGGTCCTCAAGGATGGGTTTCTGTGCTCCAATGTGCCCCAGGGCTAGATTTACTAGAACTGAGAATTCATAAGTTACTAGTATTTCACATTCATAGGTACCATTCCTGAGGGCATGTCTCTGCTCCCTTCTCCCTTGATCCCAGGAAGGACTCAATCAGATTCACTAACCTTAAAAGCAGACGAGCTGATTGGGCACCTCTAGCCTAACCTATCTCCCATCTCCTCACCCTGGCCGTAGATGGGGAAATCCAAATAAGAACCAACAGTATAGCATACTAAAAGGACACTCGTGAAATTGGCTTGCCTGCCTAGGTCCACAGAATCGTGTAGCTTTTCAGTCCAAGATCTCCCAAACCAAGGTTGACAGTCCGAGACTCCTTGGAGTGTCGCCGAGTCCACGTGGAAAGGTCAAAGAGGCTGGAGAAGGGTGTCCACTGGTGATGGTGGCAGCAGCGACAAATTGTAAAGAATGGAGCTTGCGAACACTGGCCGGCTACCTTCTCCTCCCTTTCATTCCGTTCATGCCCCTAGCCTGTGGAATGGTGCTACTCAATCTATGGCAAGCCCTTCTATCTCAGTTGCTCTTCTACATGTCAACCCTCTGGAAATGCCCTTACAAACAAACCCAGTGTGGGCACTACAATCTCCTAGGCACCTCTCCATTTGGATTTCAAAAATTACGTTTGTTTGTTTATTTCTTTATTTAGTGTGTGTGTGCGTGTGTGTGTATGTATGTGTATGTGCGTGTGTGTGTGCATCCGTGCGTGTGTGTATGTGTGTGTGTGTACGTGCGCGTGAGTGTGTGCGTTCCTATGTGAGTGTATGTGTGTGGGCGTGTGTGTGTGCATGTGTGCGTGTGTGTATGTGTGTGTGTATGTGCGTGTGCGTTCCTATGTGAGTGTATGTGTGTGGGCGTGTGTGTGTGCATGTGTGCATGTGTGTATGTGTGTGTGTATGTGCGTGTGTGTGTGCGTTCCTATGTGAGTGTATGTGTGTGGGCGTGTGTGTGTGCATGTGTGCGTGTGTGTATGTGTGTGTGTATGTGCGTGTGTGTGTGCGTTCCTGTGTGAGTGTATGTGTCTGTTCACGCCTTCCATCATGTGGTTCCTGGGACAGAACTTAAGTCATCAGGCTCAGTGGCAAGCACCTTTATCTGCTGAGTCATCTCCCTGGCCCAGCACCTCTCAATCTAATGAAGATCATGGACCAGCCATTTCCATCAGTGTGGATACAGTTCCCAAGTCTCTGCCCTTGGTGACACCTACCTGTAAACATGTAAGTATTTATATATACCTATATAGTTTTCTGGTACCCAGAATGATAAGACAAAAACAAACAGAAGTATAAAGTTGTAAAGTTTAAAAGATCCAGTTATACACACCTAGACAGATTAAGTATATGTAACGAAGGGCTGGAACCCAAACTAAGGAGAATCCAGGCCATGAGACCAAACAAAAGTTGCTTCTCGGGGATCCCAGAGGCACTTGGAGCCAGGATGCTAGTTATTCCCCAGCAAGTGGCAGAAAAGGGAGTGAGGATTGGGTCACCCCAGATAATGCTTTTTATGTTCCCTATGTGTCCAAACCAGCAAACTCAACTTGAGGAAGCGAGAAATCTGGACGCCTGGGAGTTAGAAGTTCAAGAGAGGAGCCAAGGCAGCCAGGATGCTGGAGATGCATTTTAGTGTTCAGATGCTTGCCTCCTGTTCATGCGGTTCTGGGTCTAGCTTCCAGTATGATATGATATTATAGGATATAATAAATACAGAAAAATAAAATTAAATTAAATTAAAATAAAATTAATCCCAGTAACCTTAGGCCTGATACATCTTCTTGTTCTTTTCAGACAGGTTTCCACTCCATCCTGGCTGTTCTGAGTTCACCATATAGACCACTTGAAGTCATAGAGATTCTCCTGCCTCTGTCTCCTCAGTGCTGGAATGTCATCTTGCCTGGCTCCGCTGTAGCTTTTTGATAAATGAACTTTCCAGATTTCACTACGTTGTCTTTGATTGTGTCCAGGGCATTCCTCTCTTCCACAGCTTTCAAGGCATCCAGAGATTGTTGATGGAAGCACTCTGACCTATCTGCGTGAGCCTCTTCAGCAGAATTTGATGCAAAGCTTCTCCTGGTGCCTGGGTTTTAGCCCTGATCACTTGAATCTCATTGTCTGTGAGGTCCATCTGACGCAGCAGGCTGTCCTAGAAGATAATGGGCACAAGGGTCCAACAGAAATGGAAGATTAGCTTCAGGGATGGATGTCAGAAAACATGGGGAACAGGTAAACTGCAAGCCCCTTATAGACGGTGGAGGATCCTAAATCAGATCTAGAAGCCCAAGGGTAGGGCCTAATAGGCTCTCTTGCCAATACATGAATGCTGTTGGAGCCTTACCACACCCAAAACCAACCAAGAAGCTGGGTGCTTGAGAGATGGCTCAGCTGTTAAGAGTACTGACTGCTGTACCAGAGGACTTGGGTTTGATTCCCAATACCCACATGATGGCTCACAACCATCTGCAGCTATGGTTTCAGGAAATCTGACACATCTTCTGCCTCTTCAAGGTACTACACATGTAAGCAGTGCCCACACATACATGCAGGCAAAACCCCCATATATACAAAGTGAATTTTTTAAAGTTTTTTTTTTTTAAGTATACCTTAAAAGAAGGAATCACTTGCCAAAATGCCCAGTGGCAAAGGTGCATAGATGTGTGGGTGTGCACGTGTGTGCATGCATGTGTGTGTGTGAAGGGTAGTACCATGTGGCATGAGTCACAGAGGGACACAGTGGAGTGGGTGCATAGTATCTCCCGGAATGGAGGCTGTTTAGGCTGTATTCATGGTGAATGGGGTAGAGGGCAACCCTGTCTGCCTCAGCAGAAAGGACAGAGCAGAGAGGCGGAGGACCTTTCCGTGCAAGCTGGCCTCCCTCACTGCTGCATCACTGCTACTAGATGGTCGTAAAGGATGACTGAAAACTCGAACCTGTAGCTGAGTACTGGAAACTCCCTTCTGGGGCTGTGACGATGTAACTGAAGTATGTATGCCATGTGTCACTCTCCATCCTGAGAAACAGAAGGAGCAGGAACAGGAGTTCCACTAGCTCCAGGAGTCACAAGGACATATTCTAACAGCCTTATTTAACCAATGACAGGAGGCTTAGAGGTGTAGCTTATCTGGAAGAGTAGAGTATTTACCCAGTATACTCAAACCCTGGCTTCGGTCTCACGCATTACAGTGCTGAGTGTGGGGGCCGAGAGAGCCCACTGGTAGAAGGTTCACACTGCTCGTGCAGAGGACCTAAATTCTGTTCCCAGAGTCCATGGAAAACTAGCCTACTTACTAACTAACTAACGAAATATGAAAGGAAACAAGTGCCATTTGATTCTACTCAATACATATAAAATTCATCAACTCGTGTAGTTGATATCTGAAACATGATTCATGAGATGGCTTCCATTAGTTTTGCATGATGTCTCTGAAGTCAGGTTTGTGATTTGTAGTAAAGCTCATCAAACCAAGTCTGGTCCTGCAAAGAGCTTCTACTCTAGGACCATGGATATTAACACAGGCCAGTGCACCATTCTGGAGGACCTAGTGGGGGCAAAGGTGGTGACTACAAGAGAGAAGGGAGGGATGATGGGACAGCAGAAGGACAAACAGATTCTAACAATACCATATGAGGTACTGGTCCCAGAGGAGACAGAAGGGAGGAGAGGGGGATTAATGGCCCCTAAGTCCAGTGGCAACAGTTTAGGGTTTGCGCCCATCATTAGTTATCGCGGCAGAGCACTGCCATGGGAATGACAGTTGGGATACTTGTCCTATTCCCTGGGCTGCTGTGCTATTGTTGCCTCATAGAAAACACTCACCATCAATTGGGTCGATTCCATTTGCCGGAACTAGAGACTCAGCTTCTGTTGGAGAATCCGGAGCTTCCTCGGATTCCTGTAAACATACAGCAGAGGCACCCTGGTCAGAGTCAGGAGACCTGGGGCCCAGGCCTGATCCAGATTCCCAGACTCACAAGACTGCCCCTCTAAGATAAGCTTCCTGTCTCTGTTGCTTGATGTTGGTGGCCTAGTGCGGCATAAATGCTCACCTCAAGTGTTCTGTGACAAGTGGACAACCATATAAGCCTAATCAAGACCGAGTAGTCCCCCATCCTCTGGGGATTCCCTTCGGGCCAACATCTCTGCCCCAGGCTTCTTTAAAAAGCTCAGTTGGAGACTACAAAGAGAGCTTTGCAAAATCCAAGGTCAGGTTTGTATCAAGGCCTTACAGGTGTTTTAGTCAATAATATTAACACATACATCATCTGTCTAAGTATGGAAATGAAAACATTAATAGCATGGGGGCTGGCAGGGTATTTGGTACAACCGAATATTAAATTTGACCATTTAAGAGGTTTTTTAAATTTATGTTTATGTGGGTCTATGTGGATGTCTGTCATGTGTATGAGAGAGGGCGCTGCGGAGGCCAGAAGAAGATGTTAGGTCCTCTGGAAATAGAATTATAGGCAGTTGTGAGCCACACAGTGCAGGTGGTGGGGACTGAACCCAGGTCCTCTGAAGAGCGGCAAACACTTTTAACTGCTGAGCTAGCTCTCCAGTCCCTAAGTTTGGCTTTTTAAAAAACAACTTGGAGCTGGGCAGTGGTGAAACATGCCTTTAATCCCAGCACTGGGGAGGCAGAGGCAGGCAGATCTCTGTGAATTCGAGGCCAGCCTGGTCCATAACCGCTAGTTCCAGGACAGGCTCCAAAGCTAGAGAAACCCTGCCATGAAACAAACAAACAAACAAAACCATCTTGGAACCAAAGAATACTATTAATCCCAAACATGGGAGGAGAAAGATCACTGACCTAATTAAAATAAGCTTTTTTATTTGTGTACACAGGCTCACTCACCCTAATCCTGAGTTTGAGAGCTCAGCACTGGGTGTGAGGGAGACAAAGCTTTACAGAAATCAGAGTAGGGGGTTTCCAAATGGGGATTTGGCAGACAAAATAGGTGGGTTTACAGGGGCAGAACATGAGCATAACAAGTTAGTCCTACACAGACTCCTGAAACAAAGACCCGGTTGTAAGCTGGGCATAACAAGGTAGTCATAACAACTGGTAGTCACAGGCGGTCATACAACCTTTTGAAACAGAGACATGATTACCATTCCTAGAACAGGCAGTACAGAGCCATTTGTAATTGAGGTTACAGGTGGGGCATTGCCCAGTCCTTGAGAAACCGAGGTTTAATCATAAACAGAAACGAACCTAAAGACAACTTTACTATAAGATGGCTCAGAGGTTAAGACCAATGACTACTCTTCCAGATGTCCTGAGTTCAATTCCCAGCAACCACATGGTGGCTCACAACCATCTGTAATGAGATCTGGTGCCTTCTTTGGTGTGCAAGCATACATGCAGGCAGAACAGTACGCCATTATAAATATCTAAAACCTTTAAAAAAAATGGAGAGAGAATGGTTCTTCAGAAACATCAATAACGAAAGAAATGTCTATATCAAACAGTCAGTGTCATTCACAACGGTAACACATTGGAAATCAACAGGTCCAACCAAGACCAAAACCATGCCCCTTTTTCTAACCACTGTTTTTCGTTTGTTTCGTTTTGCGGTGCTAGGGTTCAAACCCACAAAACTCTACATGTAATGCACAGATCTGCTCTAAGCCACACCCCATCCTCCTAATAACTCTCCAGTACACAGTGGGAGGGGGAAAACACACAACACAAATCAACCAAGAGGTAGGATCCTTAGCAGGGAGAAGAAAAAAAGTCACTGTTTTGGACGTCTCTATGTTTACAAATCAGTTTAAATAATACTAAGAGAAAAGCATAACTTTGGGTGAATGTTTTAAAACAGAGTAGAAACAGTAAATTTAAAAATGGAACTAAGAGAATGGTGATGGTTTGAGTCAACATGACACAGTGTAGAGCCCCCTGGGAAGAATCCTCATGAGGAATTGTCTAAACTTAGTTAACAAAAGTAGGAAGACCCACCCTCAACGAGGGCAGTACCACTTTACGGGTTGGGCTATGAGCTGGATGAAAAGCAGGGGAGAGCTGAGTGTGAATATTCATCTCCTGTACTCTGAGTGTGACAGAGTGCAGCTCCTTCTCCCAGGCACCTGCTGCTGTGACTTCCGGCGAAGGCGGACTGTAACCTAGAGCTGTGAGCTGAAATAGGCCTTTTCTCTTTCTCAGGGTCACTCATCACAAAAGGAAAAGACACTAAGACAAAGACCCAACTTATAAAGATGACAAAACAAACACACAGAACACAGCGCTGTCAAGAAATAGGATCACATGTCTCTGGAGAAACATAAAACTTTACTATTTTAAGAAAAAAATCTTGTCTAAAATGTTGCCTCCTGTGATAAGAAAAAATATTGAATAAGAGGCTGAAGAGATGACTCAGCAGTTAAGAGCACTTACTACCCTAAACAAGAACCAAAGTTCAGTCCCAGCACCTACAAAAGGCACCTCACAAATGCCTGGAACTCCAGCTCCCGGAGATCCAATGCCCCCACTCTGGCTTCTGCGGGCACCATGGGTGCATAAACACATAAAGTAAATCGTTTTTAAAAACTGAGTTTTTACAAGATCTCCATACCTACTAGATTAGTTTTTATATTTAATTAAAATTTATTACCATGTGTTCGTGTATGTGCGTGTGTGCAGGTGCCTGTGTCCCACAGTGTATGTATGAGGTCAGAGAACAACTCTTGGAAGCCAGTTCTCGCCTTCCACCTTACTGAGGGAAAATCTCTCTCGTTTCTGCCATATTGCATATTCCAGGATAGCTAGCCCACGGGTTTCTGGGCGTCTCCTGTCTCCACCTCTAATCTTGCTGTATGAATGACGAGGTTAGAGATCTGAACTAACATCTGGCTTTTTGTGGGTTCCACTGGTCAAACTTAGGGCATCAGGCTTTCGTGGCAGGTTCTTTTAGCCCTGAACAATCTTCTCCATGGCTCCTTTTAATATTTAAGACAAATTCAACACAAATTTCAATTATTGTTTTGGTCATGGAAAAAACCCTTATGAATGAATTCTAAATCGTATCTGGGTAAACTGACAAATTTTGAAAAAAATAAATATCTGCTTATATTAATACATCAGAAAACTTCATGTGCTGCTGACCATTGTGTGTATGTCTGTGAGTCTTTCATGTGATGATTTTGATGCAGTGTAAAAGCTGGAGAGATGGCTCAGCGGTTAAGGGCACTGCCTGCTCTTCCAAAGGTCCTGAGTTCAATTCCCAGTCAGCACATCATCTGTAATGGGGTCTGGTGCCCTCGTCTGGCCTGCAGGCATATATGCAGACAGAATATTGTATACATAATAAATAAAAAAAAATTAAAGAGTTTAAAGAAAAGATCTGAAGCAAATGAAATTACGCTCATCTCTCAGGCGGAGGTGGGGGCTGAGCAGCTCTCAGGACAGGGGTGAGCTGTGTGGTCTTCTTAGTACTCACTGAGCTCCTTCCTGTACAGTTTGCATCCTGTCACTTAAGCGGAGGGGCTACTGGCTGTTTTTAAATGTATTTCCCTTTCTCTTTATAAAATAAAAGCTGAACAGTGTTGTAAAAGTGAAACAGACTGGTCCAGGAGGAAGGAAGCCACTGTCAAGACGGACATCTGATTCGTGAGTGGAGAGGGACCAGGGGAATGGGGGGCTCAATATTTAAATGGAATTGAAAGAGTCACATGGTGACTAGGAACAATATCACATCACAAGATAAACTCCATCCAGATGACACAGAAATATGTGAAAAGTAGAGTCAGCAGGGACAAAAATCTCCCCAAGAAATCATAGGCTCATCTTACTTTGGGGGAAGGGTTTGGGGAGCCTATGAGTAACGGGAAGCAAATGTATCTGTTGATTTTAATAGTTCAAAATGAAAGATTAGAACAAACTGAAGGATAAAAATTAGGAATATGGGGGCTGCGGAGATGGCTCAGTCAGTAAAGTGCTTGCCGCAGAAATATGAGGCCTGAGTCCCCATGCCTAATATGCAATGAAGCCCAGGCAGAGAGTTCCAGAGGATTTGACACCCCCTTATGACCCCTTAAGCTCTGAAAACACACAGGGTGCACATACATACATTCGGGCAAAATGCTCATACACATAACATAAAATTTAAAAAGCTTGTGTTGGGAGGGTAGATGTGCATGGTTGCCCGCACTTATGATTCAAGCATCAGGAAGGTGAGGACCAGGGAATCCCTGAGGCCTGCTGACCTGCCACTTCAGCTTGTGAGTTCCAGATCCAGGGAAAGATCCTGCCTCAGAACATAGCGAGGTGAAAAAGAGAAGTGAGGAAAACATTTGACGAAGACCTCTGGCCTCCACATGCTAATGCCTACATACATGTAAACACATACGAGCATATATGTGTAATATAAGAAACTAGAGACCTATTACCCACATGAGAGAAAATACTTACATAGCAAGCATTTTTTTTCCTTACAAAGCTCTTAATAACATTAGGATAACGTATGTGAAAATGCTTAAAACTACTCTGGAGGCTCAGACAGAAGGGCAAAGCTGAGGCCAGCCTGGGCAACTTAGGGATCTATTGTCTCAATAAAACGCTTTTGCAAAGTCACTGAGGGTGTAACTCAGCCGTGAAGTTTAGCATGTGTGAGGCGCCAATATGTCAAACAAAAATCAAACCCAAGATCTCAGCCCCTCTTGGCCACAGTATCTGCTCCATGTCCATGTTGCCCCAGGCTCTGAGGACACAGCATGGATATCACAGATACTCAGCATATTCTACAGAATGGCTCAGCCACCACACTTAGGCCATGTGCATCCTGTCCATTGTCACCCTGTCTCTCCATCCCCTGGACCAGAGGATCAGATGACAACGGCCACGTTGTCAACAATCCAGCACTGTCTCCAGGGACTCCTATCCCAGCCATTGTCTGTCCAATATATGCTCAAAAAGAGTGGACGGCCATTCTCTGCTGCTTAGGGGCTCAGCGTGACCATCTCCCTGAACTGCAGATCTTCCTGAGGGACCCAAGTGTGTGGAAATGGCTTTGAGAAGGCAAAGAGGCCACTCAGGAGCCCACACCCAAGGCCCTGTGCAGAGTCCCACCCATCTCAGTGCGGCCACCTTAGGCTCACAGAGCCATGACCTGCTGCTGGAACTTCGTGCTCTTATGACTGTGCCAAGGAGGCCACACTCCCGCCTGACCCCACACGCAGAAGCAGACAGAGTTGCAACATGGTCTGAGGCCTGTGGAAGCTCAAATAGCCTCTTGCGTGAAAGGAGACTCGGAGCCTCAATCACTTTAGTGAGCCAGGACGGCAACCCAGGACAGGTGGAGATGTACCCTTCTCTATGAGCTGTGCAGCCCCTCAAACACCCTGTTTCTCAGGGCTGGGGAGATGGCTCAGTGGCTAAGAGCACTGGCAGCTCTTCCAGAGGACCTGGGTTTGATTCCCAGAACTCAACTGGCTGTAAACTTTAGTTCCAGAGGATTCAATGTCCTCTTTTGGCCTCCATGATCACCAGGCATGCATGTGACACACAGACATGCATGTAGATAAAACACTCATATGCATAAAATTGAAAATTAAAATTAAAAAAAAAAACCCTCTGCTTCTCAGCAGAGCTACAACCTCTGAGGCCTTCACTGCAGGAGAGTCATTTTCCGGGTTGGATGTCCGCAGTTCCGTGAGAGGCACAGAATTTTCAGAGTGCTGTTCACGGCCTAGAAGAGAAGGAGGTTGCCATAGCCAGTGGGCAGGGAACTCATCAGCCCCCCCCCTTTTTTTTTATCAGAGCAGAGTGAGCAAAACACTCCAACACTGGATTGGGAGGGGTCATTCTTGCTTGGGGCTACCCTCAGGCCAAGGAGGCAGCTGGGGAGAAACTGAAGGAAAACACACACACAATCTCTGGTTCTGCAGGAACCAGAGCTGTCCCTGGCTCTCTCCTGTCCTAACTTTATCCTCAGTTGAGGAGTTGATGTCTACTCTCTCAGACTTGGTTAAAAGAGCAAGGGAACCATCAGTGAGATGGACTGGTAAGATTCCGGGCTTTTGTGGTTTGGGGGAAGTGGGAGATGGTATATCAATTGCAGGAGCAAAAGAGAGGTCTAGGCTTCAAGGACAATGGAGTTCAGGACACAGGGAGGGCAATTCTGAAGGAGAAGAGCAGGTTAGAGAGATTCAGATTTGGTGTCCAAGGGACCCACCACAGCCAACACTCACCTGGATAGGCTCTTTTCACCAACTGCAATGTTCGCCCCCATGCCCCAGATTTCCAGAAACCTGCAAGAAAAAGCAGCAGCAGCAGCCCCGCCACTACGAACCCTATGATGAGGCCTAAGTTGAGTTGAGAGTCTTTGGGGACACACATTCGGTTTGTTTTCGGGGTACAGGAAGTCTTTTCAGATTCTTCATCAGGGCACCTGGGCACAACAAGGAAGAAATAAGATTCTGTGAGAAAGCTGCTGGTCAGAAGTGGTGAAGGGGAGGCACTCACTCTACCCAGTGTCCCAGAGATGGTAGTAAAGGAAGGACAGGCTCCAAATTTGTCCCTACATCCGGACACACACAGTGTAGTCTTTGGGGGAACTTTCTGTAGGCATGGTGGCAACCTTTCTGCCTTTTCTGCAGGGTGTGTGCTGAGTGGCTCTGGGCCTCAGGAGGGCCTAAGTTAGGAAAGGGCCTGTGTGGTCACCGCTGAGCCATGTCCCTTTATCAGCCTTCAATAAGCAGACCTTTGTACCAGGTGGTCAGGGAAGAGTAAATGAACTATTTTCCTTCAAACTCCTGAAGTTGAGACAAGGGTTACTGACGGGATTGGGTCCTGGGGGCGAGGTTAGCTGAGTTGGGTCAGGTGCCTCTGAGAACCCCGGAGGAGGCCACACACACAGAGCCTCATTATGTGTTTTTTGGGCTTGCAGCACTTTCTTCTTCCTAGGGGTCTCAAGAATCTGAGGTGGTGTAAATACACACAAGCCAGGCTGTATGCTACTCACTCTCTTGCTGTATTCTATGGAGAGGGGACAAATTATCTGGCCAAGGGAAAAGAACGGGTGGAAAATTGAAGGGATTGGTGGTGGGGGACAGGAACACGGAGAGATTTACAGTTGGATGTGGAGAGACCACAGTGGGCTCAGAAGACCCCAAATGTTTGGGGATACCGCTGTCAGGGGGGCACGGGGCCGCTATAATGTGGGAATCCTAACACCTTGTAGCGTGGGTTCTCCATGGAGTCGGAAGGAAACGAAAGGATACAAGGAAGGTTGAGTTTTCTGGGGTTTCCTGGGATTGTAAAAGTTCCAGGGCCCAGTGACATACTTGGAGCACTTCTGGCAGAACTCAGGAGAGTTTTCATCTTTAAAGGTGCCTGGTTTGCACTCACACTTGGTGTCCTGGGTGGAGTTGCATCTCGCTATTTCATCTTCATCTGTAAGAGTATGAGGGATGAAGTTTCTTGGTTATCAGGGTAACACTTCCTTCGGACACAGTTCCTTCTGTTTCAGCTCCACTGAACGTAGGAAGTAATAACGAGGACCTGTTCCTATTACACCACAGCCAGGGCATGCAGACAATGGCTCCCAGAAGCATATTTGAGTACTCAGAGTTAAACCAAAGGAACACCATTCATGACCTCATGCATCGGATTTGGGAGGAATGTTCAGTTCATTTAGATCATGAGGACAGGAGCAAGGGATGTACAGAGGGCGCTCTTCACGCTCCTGGAAACAGGAGAAGATTGAAGAAGCAGGGACTGAGTGCTCACACCTACCAAGAGCTCAAAACCAAGAACAGGAGAGCCTAGTCTAGAGCCAGCTGGGAACCCAGCAGGCCCCCACAGCCATTCCTTTCTTTATTACAGACTAAGAAGGTTAATCTCCTTTGTTATTTGATAAGATCTAGGATCAGCTGGGAGACAGCCTCTGGGCAAGTCTGTGGAGATATTATCTTGGTTACACTAATTAGGTGGGAAGATTCCTACACACTGAGTGCTACCATTCTTGGACTAGGTTCCTGAACTATATAAACAGGAGAAAGTGAGCTGAGCACACAAATCTATTACTCTCTGAAAAAGGGAGTTGAGCAGCTGCTTCAATCTCCTGCCCACTTTGACCTCACTGCAATGATGGATGGATGAACTGCAAGCCAGTTCAACCCTCTCTTCTTTTGGCTTTTGACAGAGCTTTTGTCTCAGCAAACAGGAAAAAACACTAAAACAATAGCCTACGACCTCCACACTTTAGCAGGCTGACAGCAGGAAAGATGAAAGCCCTTTGAAGTTTCTGTGGAAGGTTCTAGAAGGAGTTTGCTCAGGTCTCAGAGGACTGGAAAGCAGCCAATATTACGAAAAAAGCTGATGCATCCCTAGGGCAAGCATACATCATAACACGTCACTCATAGCTGGAGACTGACCACAGGGACAGAGGGGAGACTCTCAGTGGCTCTTTTCCTTTTGAATCTGGTGTTACATCCCATGACCCACACTTTTGACGTCAACTTCTAGAAAATGCAAAGCAGGAGACTACCATGGTAACTCAAGATTTTCTACTGGGTAGCAAACCCATTGCAGAGTTGAAGAGACTCATGCTGGACCCAGAATGGAATTAATGCCCTATTCCAAATATGCAGGGCTCTTTCCTCTTCAGCGCTGGAACTCTGGCTGAGATCTCCCTGGTCCACTTAAATCCTGTATCTATCCTTCAAGGTCCATTTCTAACATCGTGTGCCCTGTGGAGCCCCGCCACTCCTCAGGACAAGTCCTGGCACAGCCGGCACCAGGGCGCTTCCTGTTCGCCAAGTTATATGTAGTGAGTGGTGCGGCAGTGGCAACTGCCCCATAATGCATCTGGGGGTACCAGGCCCTGCTCTCCACAGTGGCAGATTAGTTTCCACTTTATTCTCCACTGATGGTCCCAACGATTCCTAAAACACAGCACAAATTAATTCTCCAGGGTTTTTGGTTTTTTTGTTTTTAATTTTTGTCCCATTGAATTATGGACAGGTGGAGAACAGGGTGGGATAAAGAGCAAATTGTGCTGGAATTGAGATTTCTGAGTCCACAGCAGTTGTGAGTCCCACCTCCCCAGACTGCACTCGTGGGAAAGAGCCCCTTTGTTCTGTACCTGCTCTACAGATGCTGCACTTTATGCACGAAGGCAGACTGTTGGCGTGGCTGGTATACTCTATACCTTCCATGCAGGGCACGCAACCATCCTCATCTGACAGGTAGGACCCTGAGGAGGGAAAGAAAGATGGTGAAGGGAACTTCAGGACATCCGGAGCTGAAGGGAAAACCTGTGTCCTAGTTAGAGGGACCTGGGAAGCAGGGGTCACATGAGAAATTTGACTGTGGGCTTGTCTACAGAGCATTTTCTCTGCCCACCCTGCCCTGCCTATGCTGCCAAAGACAGATGTTCACAGTTTCAGGGCTCTCTTACCTGCACCTGCCCTACAGGTTGGCTCTATTGTGCTGCCCGGGCAAGGTACAAGGCCTGGAGGCAGCTTGGCAGCTTCTTTAGGAAGCTTATCTCTGCAGTGGCGCTCACGGGCATAGGGAGCAGCCAGAGCCTGCAAGGTTGTAATGAATGGGGCCACTCTAAAGAGACACTTGGGACCTCTACCTTTGACTATACAACTATTGAGACACCATGGTCCAAAAACTGAAAGTCTTGTACTGGGGAAAGAAGAAGGATGAAACCCATGGCTGGGTGGAGATAGAAACTTGTAAGGAAAGAGATTTGCAACTTGTCAGACCACCTTGCAGGACTGAATAGGGCCAAAACCGGAATGGTCAATAATTCTGGTAGTTGGAGAGATGGCTCAGTGATTAAGAGCACTGGTTGCTCTTCCAGAGGACCCAGGTTCAATTCCCAGCACCTACATGGCAGCTCACAGCTGTGTGTAACTCCAGTTCCAGTGGATTTGTCACCCTTGCATAGAGATACATTCAGGCAAAAAACCAATGTACATAAAAATAAACAAATCATTAAAAAATATGAAAATAAAGTAACATAAAACTTAATCCTAGACTTCATGGGAAAGATGGGTCGGGGGTCACATAGATCCTCTATCTGTTTCCTCTATGGCCACAATGGAAAAATCTCCTTTCTTCTAACTTCCGGTATCAATCAATGACTCTTTTGATTGGCAAAATTACTGAGGATGATGGTAGAGCCTGCCTTGCTAGGACTTCCAGAACACAGACTCCGACCTTTATAATTCCGGTATAGGACCAGGCTGGGAGCCACCTAAGGTTCCAAGGAAAGTTAAGATGTGTGAAGAGAATGCGAACACAGCTGGTTTGTACGGTTCCATGACTGTAGCATCCCCAGAAATCACACAGTGCAATAAGTGGACAGTAACTGAGTAGTAGAGCTAGGGCTCCAGATCTATGGTAATGTGCTCATCTGGCATCAGTGAGGCCCTGGGTTAGATATAGAAGAAAAAACAAAGGAAAGAAAGAAATGAGAAAGGAACTGGATAGCCCAATATAAAAGGGAAACTGGACCCTTACCTGATACTGCATATAAACACCTAAATAGAAGCATAGAAATTCCCAAACTCATAGAAAACATGAAGATAAATCTTCATGACCTTGGATTTAGAAAATATCAATAACTATGGCATAAAAGAAATCAGAACTGAAAAGACCAGAAGACTGAAAGAATATGGAGCTGTGGAGGGGAGGGGTCATGGCCAAAGACTGGCAATCAATCTAGAATGCACCTGGTTGACATTTTCCTTCTGATGGGCTCTGCTGCACATTCTGGAGGTCAGCTGGGTGATGACGGACTGACTTGGCTAGCACTCCGCAGAAGATGCTCTGTAGAAACAAAGAAGGAACTGCCTTTAGTGGCTGCTCTCTAGAAACAAAGAAGGAACTGCCTTTAATGGCTGTGGGCCTCACCAACATGGGGCCATCTCACATTCCCTTCCCTCCAGTTTCTAAAATGACATGGATCTCAGGCCTCCCTCCCTTCTAAACTGTCCAGTACTTTTGTGTTCCTATTCCTCTTTGCTCCTTGCAGCTGCCCAAGTCCTAGAAACTTAAACATGTGATAATTGTCTTTCTGTGTCTTTCTGTGTCTGGGTTACCTCACTCAAAATAATGTTTTCAAGCTCCATTCATTTTCCTGCAAATTCAAGATGCCGTTATTTTTTTCTGCTCACACAGAGTTTTTAAAAAATGCATTTACGTATACATACATCTACATCTAGGCCAGCATTCACATTGTCATGTAAACAAATCCAGAATTCTTTTCATCTAGCAAAACTGAAAGTCGGTACCCGTTAAAATAGCAATCCGCTTGCTCCTCCATCCACCTTTCCATGCTGGCAACCATTGCTCTGCTTCTCTTCTCCTTCCTTCCTTCCTTCCTTCCTTTTTCCAAGTAGCTAAAAAAGCATTACCAAATGTAGCTGAAAGCCAAGAGAGTACGGAAGACATGGTTCTTATGCAGGGCTGCCTGGCATTAAGCGAACATGTCCTAACCTTGGTTCCTACTTTTATTCTTTTTTCAGACATAGGCATGTTCCACCTCAACAGTGAAGTATTAGAACAGAAGGTGGAGCACTGTAACCAGCCTGGCAAAAATGAGTGTAAATGTGTGTGTGTCTAAAGAGACACTTGTGTGACTCTCTGACTATTAGAAATTAGAATCGGTGGACTCCAAGAAACTGGAATTCCTCCTCAGTAATCTCATGCTAGCAGACAGCAAAAGTCCAGATTCTTGCCCTACGGGCCCTTTTACTCCTTTTAAATCAATAAATTGCTGAGCCAAATAAACAGTGGTGTCACACTCTAAATGAGCTCGCACGTTCTTGCAGCTAAAGTCAAAATCAGGCACTTTTCTCTCCTAGCCTTGAGAAGAGAGGTGTCAGAGGCCCGCTCCAGCAGCTAGGCAGGGTCAACCCTCCAGCCCGTTTCTAAATTCTTTCTGCCCCTTGGGTTCTGCAGGGTAACCGGGTTCTTTTCCCCTGCCCCAGCTAGTCCCAGGTATGGTGCTCTGGTGAGTTTCACTGAGTTGGCTGGGTCCTTCCTTCCCACCTCCTTGCGCCGTCCCCCCACCCCCCCCCCCCCCCGCCCGCCCGCCTTGGTCTTTCTCCCCTCCGCCTGGGCCCAGTCTCCCACCTAATATCAGATCCTTTCTTCCACCTTTGGGTTCCCTCACTTACCATCCTCCCCCCAGCGGAGTGCAGCCTCGTCATATCCTCCCCAATCAAGAATCCTCTGCCCACCTCTTCCACACCCTGCCTGACCCCATCTTGGGGTTCCCCACCGCCACCCAACCATCGGACCTTCCACCTTTCACCGTCGAGTTCTCCCTCCTCCACAGTGGTGTCCCCCAACAATGTCAGACCTCCTTCCACCCCGCGCGCCATAGGGCACGTGCGCTCCAGCCACAGGCACTTTGCACAACTCCCTGCTTCCTGCTCTGGGACCTGGCATGGCGCTCTCAGCGGGCGCGGCGCTCTCAGCGGGCGCGGCGCTCTCCCCGGGCGATACTCACCAGTAGCAGGACGACGAAGGCTGGTAACTTGCGCATCTTTGGGACCCTAGGCCGAGGTCTGCGACCTGGGATTGGCCTGGGACCTGGGGTGCGACCTGCCCAGGCCGCAGAGGCTGAGGGAGCGCGGGGTAAAGGAGACTTCTTGGAGTTAGGGTTGCGCTGATTCCGGATCCCGCGGCTTCTAAAAATCCTCGAAGAGCTGTTTCCTCAGCTCGGAAAAGTTCTCTGAATTCCCGTCCTACAGCATCCTACTTGGCGGGACCTGTCTGCTTGAGCTCCTCGGTTAATGGAAAACTTTCTAGAATTTTTGTGGGAGGAGCTAAATATCATCCAATTCCTTTCCTGAAGCCCAGGAGCAGACCTGTGAGTCACCACCTTTTTTTTTTTTTTTTTTAAGTATCATGGTATTTTCATTGTAGTTTTCAAGTCATGGATATTTCCACTATTATAAAACTTCATAATACTCAATAGTTTGCCTGCCACTTCATACTCTGCCTAATACTATGACTGTCACCCTAGTAACAGAAGATAAATCTGTTCTGCTATACCGTTTAGAACACTATTTGTACCACCAAGGAAAGCCTGAGTTCACTGGCCACCTGCCCCTTGCTGCCTGCAGACCAGCTGCTCACACTGGACAACATAGAGCTGGTCGCAGGAACACCTGCCTGTGCCCTCCGTGTCCAACTGCTCAGTTAGAAGACATTTGAGTTCCAGCCTCTGCCCCTGGAGGAGCTGACTCAGAAGGTGGCTACTATGGTCAGGCCTCTTCCTCCTCCTTTCTTCTACCTTTTCTTCCTCCTCTTCTTTCTTCCTCCTTCTCCTCTTCTTGAATTTGTTATATATATATATATATATATATATATATATATATATATATATATATATATATATATATATATATTTCCTATGCTTTCAAGCTATATCAGAGAACCCAGAACAGGAAATAATAGACTAGATGCTGTTGCTGGTCCCTGGTGATGCACTTCAATGCCAGCACAAGCAAAGGCAGGTAGACCTCTTGAGTCTGAGGTCAGCCTGGTATACAGAGTGAGTTCCAGGACAGCCAGGACTACACAGAGAAACCCTGTCTCAAAACCACACACACACAGACACACACACAACACACTAGATGGCCTCATCTGCTTACATCAGTGTATTGAAACTTAATTTGTGCATTTTGACAATTTCAATATATATTGAATATGTCAAACATATATTGAATACTATATATATCAGGCATAGTGATGTCTTTAATCCCAGTACTCAGGAGGCAGAGGCAGGTAAATCTCTGTGAGTTTGAGGCTATCCTGGTCTACACAGTGAGTTCCAGGACAGCCAGAGCTATGTATTCAGACCCTGTCTTGAAAAACAACAACGACAACAACAACAAAAAAAGATAACAAGAGTTAGAGTTTCCATCTGCCGCAGGCCTTCAGATCTCCAGCACAGGACATCACTGATCAAACTTCTTCACATCTGTTTCAGCTCGCTTCTTAAGCCACAACCCCAAACAAAATTTGTTTGGGGGGTGGGGGGATGATGAATGTGTCTCAAGGAAGTGTGTTGCCTAAAGCCTGAGATGATTCAGTAAGGTTTCTGGTCCCCAAATAAAGTATTTAGTTTATTAAGAATCTGTAACTTTTGGAGCTCAGTGTGGTGGTATACTCTTCAATCCCAGCACTTAGGAGGCAGAGTCAAGTGGGTCTCTGTGACTCTGATGCCAGCCCATTCTACATAGCGAGTTCCAAGACAGCCAGAGCTACATAATAGAGAAACACTGTCTGGAAAAATAAAGAAAATCTGACTTCTCTCAAATCACTCAGCTTCTCCTTGATTGGCTCAAATAATGTTAGCTTTACAAGAAGCAGCTCCCAGTACTGTTGGGAGGCACTGTACCCTATTGGTCTCTCCTAGGTGTTCTTGGTCTATGCTGTCAGGATTAAGACAGAGCCATGAGTCACCCACTTTTGAGTCAATGGAGACATTCGCTGCAGAGAACAGCAAAGAGGAAGAAGACCGAGTAGGGGTGTGTTTATAACAGGACAGAGATGGCAGGAAACACAAGCCCTGATTCACAAGACAGTGACAGTGCTTATGCTGTTTGATTACCCTTGGAAGTCAAGTCTACTGTCAAGGATGAGGTGGGGAGATTTTGTATCCAATACCATATACCAATGGTCCTCAGCCTGTGGGTCGTGACCCCTTTGGGGGTTGAACAACCCTTTCACAGGGGTCACCTAAGACCATCAGAAATATGAGATATTTGCATTTTGATTCATAACAGTAGCAAAATTTAAGTTAGGAAGTAGCAATGAAAATAATTTTCTGGTTTGGGGGTCAAAACATGAGGAACTGCATTAAAGGGCTGCAGCATTAGGAAGGTTAAGAACCACTGCTCTATGGACCATGCTACCTCCTTCCCTTTGGCATATCTGGCATGTTTTATTAGCATAGTGTCCTCTGGGTCCATCCATGTGCTGGTGAATGATAGAATTCCTTCTTTTTATAGGGTGCACATAAGCAAACTTATCCTTAAACAACAGTTTTGGTGATCTGATCTGAGTCTGAACCTGAGACCAAGATTTCTGGATCGTTTAAGAGTTCTACCTTTTGTTTGTGCAGAGCCTCCACAATCTTTCCAATAACTGCACACATTTACATCCCCAACAAACACCCTCTTCCCAACAATATTATTCCATCCCTCTCTTCCATAATCACCACCTCACGAGGTACCACACACCTTTTGTAAATGTTTTCTGAAACACTTGGTTGCTATTACTGGTGAAACTTGTTCCCATTCTGTTGCTTTGGAATTGCTTGCTACATCCTCATATAAATATTACCGATTGTTGTCCACTGGTCAAGGAGTCTATAATCTTGTTACATTTGTATACTATGACCTCAATATAGATTATTTAGAGTTCTTTGTGTAGGCAATCATTTTATATGAAACTAAAAAAAAATCTTAGTTCTTCTTTTCCAATCTTTAATGCCTTTTAATTATAGTTCCTACTTAATTGCCCTGGCTGGGATTGCCTCTTAGTGCCCCATTCAATGGAAATGGTTTAGAAAAGCTAACGTGTCTGTCTTATTCTCAGCCTTGGAAGAAAGTATCAAAAAATCAAAATTAAATATTATTATCTGAGTACATATCTTCTAGTGAGATTTCTGGGTCCTTTGAGGTGATATTTGTGGTAGTTTTAACATTTTTTTATGACATTTAGTTCATTTGTGTGTGTGTTGCACACACACCTGCACATGCCACTGGGTAATGTGCAGAAGATGGTTTTCTCCAACCATCATGTGGATGCATAGGTCCAAACTGAGGTTGTTGGGCCTGGAGACAGAGTTATTAGCCACCCAGTTATACCTATATCTATATAATAGATACCCTTTTCAAACTTTTCAAACTCTCTTCCACTCCTAGTTTGTTAAGAACTTTTATGAATGACAGTTGGAATTTATCAGGTGAACTTTTTTTTTTGTATCTTGGAGGTGATCTTATGGTTTTTCTCTTTCCTACTGTTAAATAATTTGAGGACTTTCAGATGTTGCACGTTGCTTGAATTCTTGGACTACATTTGTCATATTTTTATATTCAAAGTTATTTTATTGCTCGTGTACACAGGAGAATTTATGTCACTAAATCAGAGACTTTGGATGACCCATAGTTCCGATTGCGTGGGAGGACCCACTTAGTGTTACAATAACGAGCCAGGGGGTGAATTCTGCTCTCTATCAGAATTGGGCGGAATTTAGCATCCTTAAGCTTTCTGTTCCTCTCAAGATGTATCGACTGCTTTCTTAATCAAATGTTAGAGATTCTCAAGGAAATAGGGGCAAAGCCTTTGGACTCAAGGATTCTCAAGATTTTATTACCACTCACAAAAACAGGCCTGTGCTACACCATGTAAGTCCCTCAGGATCACGCCTATTTGGGAGGGAGTGAAGTCTTTTTTGGCCAGTTTGTAAATCTGTTCCTTCACGCTGTCAGCTTCAGCCATGTGTGGACGCTAAGGCAGTAGGGCAGTGATGCCTGGGACAGGCCCTTACCGGGAGCATGCGTGCGACCCTTGATGGCGCAGGTCTGCCAGCAAAGAGTTGGCATAACTTTTTTTTTACATTATTGGTAGATTTGATTTGGTAATGTTTTCGTGTCTGGACTGACAAGGGATATCAGCCCATCCGTTTCTTTTTCTGTATTGACTTTGTACAGTTCAGATTTCATTAATCACCCTGGATTTAGAAAATAAACTCAAGTTTCTGGGGGAAATTGTATAAGATTAGTTGATATTTCTTTCTTAAATGGTTGACAGCATTCAACAGTAGCATCACTCATATTTTCCCACTCTTTTTAAAATAAATCTTATTATATTTCATATGTAGGTATGAATGCCTCCATATATGTAAGTGAATTGTATGCATGCCTGGTGCACGCGGACACCTAAGAGGGCATTAGATTTCCTAGAACTGGAGAGCAGTGGTGAGCTGACTTGTGGGTGCTGGGAACCAAGCCTGAGTCCCCTGCAAGCACAGCACGTGCTCTTAACTGCCGACCAGCTAGCATATTTTCTAGTTCTTAGGCTTTTTAATTAAAAAAACATTTTAAAAACACTGTATTGTTTTATTTTATATGTATTTGTGTTCTGCCTGCATGTATAACTGTGTCAAATCCCCTGGAGCTGGAGTTGCAGACAATTGTGAGCTGCCATGTGGGTGGATGCTGGGAACTGAACCCTGGACTTCTGGAAGAACAGCAGCCAGTGCTCTTAACCGCTGAGTCTGTTATAGCAAGTGAACATTTTTAAGGTATTTATCTCCTTTAGCAAGGCTCTAATATCATGATATACAGCAATCTGTAAAGCTCTTGAACACTCGTCATAATAGTGGTAGCCAGTCTCTAAAATTCTGATTTTTTGTATTATTTGGTTTTTCTCTTTTTTTTTAAATGAACTTTGCTAAGGGCTACTAAATTGTCTTACTCTTTTCTTTATAATTTTAAAAACACTTTAATTTTATGTCTACAGGTGTTCTGACTGCATATGACTGATGCCATATGCACACGAGGCTTGAGGTGGGCAGAGGGCATCTGATCTCCTGACAGTGGAATTGCAGATGGTTGTGAGCTGCCTTGGTGGTGCTGGGATTCCAACCCAGGTCCTCCCAAAGAGCAGCCAGTATTCTTAACTGCTGAGCCTTCTCTCCCGCCCTTTTCTTACTCTTTTCAGTAAATATACTATCTAGATTAGTGTGACTGATTTTTGTATTTTATAGTTATTCTCTTCATTGTTATTTTTCTTCTACATATTTTGCTCCATTTTGTCTAACCCTTTTTAAAACTTCTTTCTTGAAGCTTTGGGAGTTTCACATCATGAAACCCAATTCTGTTCACCTTCCAGCCCCC